GCCATGGCCAATCTCTCTGCAGTGTCCGTGTTCATTCTCCAGGGCTTCTCCACCGTCCCTGCGTTCCGGCTGCTGAGCACGGCCGCCTTCCTTCTCGTGTACCTGGCTGCGGTTCTGGGGAATGTCTCCATCGTGTTAGCTGTGACGCTCAATACCCGCCTGCACACCCCCATGTACTTCTTCGTCAAACACCTCTCCCTGGTGGATCTCTGCTCTACGTCCACCACTCTGCCCCGGGCCCTGGTGGCTAGCATGGCAGACACTAAAGAGATTTCCCTCCCGGCCTGCGCATCCCAGCTCTTTGCTTTTGTCTGCTTTGGCTCTCTCGAATGCTTCCTCATCACTTCCATGGCTTTTGACCGCTGTCTGGCCATCTACAGGCCCCTGGTCTATGGGGTGACCATGAATTCTCAGACTTGCGTCTCCCTGGTAGTGGTGGCCTGGGTCAGTGGGCTCCTCTTTTCCACCTTCCACACGGTCAACACTTTCTCCCTGTCCTTCTGTGGCCCCAATACGATTGACCACTTCTTCTGTGACATTCCCCCACTCATGCGTCTAGCCTGCGGTGACACCGCAGGCCACGAGGCCGTGGGTTTTGCAGTCAGCGGCTGCGCCATCATGACTTGCTTCGCCCTCACGTGCCTGTCTTACGTTCTCATCGTCTACACCGTGGCTCGCGTTCCATCTTCGGCTGGACGCTGGAAGGCCTTCTCCACGTGCTCCTCTCATCTGGCCACAGTGCTCCTGTTTTACGGCACCGGAAGTTCCGCTTACATGCAGCCCACGGCCCATTACTCACCTCTTCAAGGGCGCCTGGCTGCTGTATTCTACTCTATTCTCACGCCCACACTGAATCCGCTCATTTACAGCCTGAGGAACAAGGACATGAAAGACGCTCTGAGGAAGGTCTACCCGCAGGTACCACACTGGAGCCTGGCATTGAGACATGGGAATGTCCAGAAACCTACAGAATCTCCCCTGTAGCCATCAGGAGACCATCTGAAAGGCCACCGTTACTCTTTACAATAGTTATCGGCCGTTTGTGTTGCTTTTTGGTGTGTGTGTGTGTGTACACGCAAGGGGAACTGTCCATTCATCAACCCATGTGTTCACTGGTTGTTTTATTTCCTTGGCTGTCCACCTTCAGTTCCTCCAGACCGAAACATGTAAACTCAGAAGATTTACCAAGCCCTTCCCAGAGGTTAAACAAATGGTAAACCTGAGGCAGCTACACCCATCTTGCGCTGGGGCCTCCAGTAACAGCTTTCCTGGGACACTGCCCATGCTGGAGGGAAGCTGTCTGAGTCATTCAGATTCCCCCTACACCACAACCATGCTGCTGTAATTCAATCCAATAAACTCACCGGCCGCCGAGCCAGACTTGGATGGGAATCGTTGCTTTGTCCTGCCATTGCCCTGGCCTGGGTGAGTAGGCATTTCTGTGCCTCTTCCTAGGAAAAACGATGCACTAGACATTCATATATATTAAAAAATAACTAGCTCCCCGATTTTGTAAAATGGGTTAGGGCTGGCCTGAAGCGTGCAGTGGGGCCTGTTGAGAAAGGCTCCAATGAAGTATCTAAATATCCCGATTCCCTGGCAAAGCCAAAGGACCCTATTCCTGAGATGCTTGGGGTTTTAAAAAATGAGAAATGTAAGGAAGAGCTTACTTCATAAGACCTACATGCTGGGGCTAGAGAGACGGCTCAGCAGTGAAGGTTATTTGCTGCTCTTCCAGAGGACCAGAGTTTGAGTTGCAGCACCCATAATCGGGCAGCTTACTACCGCCATCACTCTAGCTCTAGGGGATCTGATGCCCCCTTCTGGCCGCTACAGGTACTGCACCCAGGTACAAGAAACCCACACATTCGGTTCACACGGAAACACACATATACACATAAAAATAAATCTTTTTTAAAAATACACACCTAGGGGGAAAAACGGAGGGATAACTAAGGAAAATGTGTGATCATATAAGATGAAAAACACACAAATAATGCATACAAAAGCTGAACTACGTAAAAGGTTAATGTCATATTCCTAGTGCTAAGATTAAATGTATCAATGCTACCAGATAATTTGCCTCAGCAGGTAAAAATGTTTGCTGCCAACCCTGACAACTCAAGTTCAAAACCCAGGACACACATGGTGGAAGGAGAGACGTGAACCCTGAACACTTTCCCCTGAAATTCACAATGCTGCTTCATGCACACACACACACACACACACACACACACACACACACACACAGATTTACATATGTGCAGATGAATTTATGCACACACATAATGTAATACGTTTTTAAAATGTTAATTTTTATTATCTCATTTATAAACTCATTGCAACAAACCAAAACGCTTTCCAGTTGATTTTTAATGTGGACTAACAATCATAATCATCATTTCTTTACAAAAGCAGAAAAATCACGTATACATTTACAGCACAGTGATTGAAGATTCAAATTATACAAAAATTACAAAGAATGCTGATGTAAGGCAAATTAAGGAAAAAATCCAAAAGCCCAGTGGCCCAAACTGTGTCTGCATTATGCAGTATGACCTTATCTGTAAGGACTAAAGACCTGCTCAGCCCCTACCCAGGGTCCCAAAGGTGAAATGCTTCTCAGGAGTGAAGGAGGGGGTAAAGATTTCTATAGTAACTTCTCACACCATCTGAGGGTTGTGCTCGTCATTTCCTGTGCTCTTTATTGTTCTGTTTTTACTCTAATAACCCTGGCCTGCTTCTAACTTCTCCACGCTTCTTCTTCTAGCTTCCTCTTATACTCTAAATACTCTTCTTCAGGAGCCTTGAAATGATACAGAAATTTCTCTCATTGGTCAAAAGCACATTCCTAGAGCAAGCAATAAGGAGATGAGCTGTTTACCATGATAACTCAGGGGTCCAAGGCCATAGGAGCAAAACCATGACCAGACAGGGAGGGCACAGTGCCCATGACAATGTTAAGACACAGATCTGTTGTTGGTAGACTGGCAAGTGAAGACTGGGCATGCTTTAAGGTTAAAATGAAGTTAGCTTGTAACGGTTCTTTCCTATCTGATGGCAGAGAGAATCCCGGACACTCTTGTTCTCTATCTCTCAGAGACCTATGGCGCAACAACTTCAGACATACCGTAATTCTTGTCCTTGGGCATCTGGGAAGTTTCTTTGTCTGGACACTAACACTGACCAACTGTCTGCCAAGGAAGGTAACTCCAAAGGTGCAGACTTCTGAGTTTATACAAAGACCTGGTTGAGAGAGTAAGGGCACTGACTGTGATTACTTTCTTGCCAGAATCACACACAGCTGGGAGGAGTCATCCACTATACCAGTGCACAGGGAAAATGTGTCCAGGAAATGAATGCTAATACCACAGTGCTGTGGGAAGGATCCCCACCCTGCGATGTGAGGGAAAGAACCCGCCCCACCATGGGGACAGCTGACACATTTCAGAAGGCACATGCCATATTGTCTTGCACATAAGGTTGAGAATTGCATCTCTGGTGACAATATTCTTCATTGCCTTCCTGAATGAGGTTATGTCTTTCAAGAGAATTTTACAATCTCTGAGGCTCTGACCCCTAAAATGCTGCATAATTCTGTGGTATGTGGCACTTATCTGTCATTTGTTAATTCCTGATTCAGGGAGGGCTCCTTAAGGAAGAGGGACCTTTTCACACATGTCAACCAGCTCAACTCAAGAGTGTCATGCTGTGGATCTCTGCTTCTGCTTCCATCAGCTACTAGATGAAGGCTCTAGGATGGCATTTAATGTAGTCATCAATCTCATTATAAGGGAAGGGCATTTAAGGCAGCCTCTCCACTAATGCTTAGATTCTTAGTTGGGGTCATCCTTGTGGCAGACTTCTATAAATGATCAAAGGCCACAACTCGCAAGCTAACGTGTATAAGAGTACAAATAAACAGCAGAATGCTTCTGGGGCTTCTTGACAGGGGTGTGGATGTTACCATTATAACTAAAGAATCTTAGCATCCAAGCTGGCCTCTGCAGGAGGTAAACGTTTAATTCTTAGGGATTGGAACCCTATCTCAGGTAAAACAAGGCACGGAATGGGTTGAATGTATAGGGCCAGAACGACAAAGAGGAAGGCTGAGCCATATATGGCTAATATAGCAATACATCTATGGGGTCATGATTTATTGCAGAATGTAATACCCAGATTAACATTCCTCCATTATCAGATATAAACCATAAATAAACTCGTGCTTGTGGAAAAGACATAGTAAGACTATATAAAATAGACACCAATGATTTATGCTGTACAAAAACAGAAGAGAGCAACCTTAAAAACAACTTCATGCGATCTGACACAAGCCACCTGTGTGCTGGACCGAGTTAGGCACCAGGATCCGAACACTGAACACCCAGAGGCAGCCCGGCCTCCATCTGCCGGCCCTGGTAGGCCAGGAGTCTTTCCAGTTCCAGTTCGTCGTCAATGCTCAGAGTCATCTGACACAAGCGACCTGCATGCTGGACCAAGTTCGGGGGTGGGATCTGACACACCAAGGCCCGGGGACAGCTCTGCCTCTAATTGCCGGCCTGGCACGCCCAAACACTGCCGACGCCCGGGTAACAGTGACACCTCCATCCACGAGAAGTGGACTGACACCAGAGTATTGGATCTGTTTGCGTCTACCAGAAGAGAACCTGGGTCCCACACCCACCAGGAGAGCAAGAAAACTGTTGCTACACCCACCAGAAGAAAGGATGAGAAGAGGACAAGATAACACAACAAAGAACC